CTGCTCTGCCTCGGGCTGCTCCACGCAGGTACGACGCGCGCGCGCGAGGCGAGGCAGCCTCCAGCCGAGGGCTTTGTTCCCCTCGCAGCCCCGGGTCCCGAAGGCGCTTGTTGGGGCGGAAGGGCGGCGTGGAACGACGGGAAAGGCCTCCGAGCCTCTGACACTCACTTTAGCGGGGCTCGCGGCTGGAACTCACCCGCCGGCCGTGCTTTCCCCGCCTGCGGCTCGGACCGTTGATAAATCTCCCCTCCAACAGCCGCTTATCAAAGATTTAGCGGGCGGAGACTGCACGCCCGAGACGAATGTTCCGGATGCTTTATTGCTCTCTGCATTGGTGTTTACTGAAAGTCAGGCTCGGATCAGGTTTCCGCCGCCGCCGTCTCGGAAGGAGACGAGGAGCCTTGTGCGGCTTCTCTGGACTTGGGGGTGGCGGCGAGACGAGGGAATAGCACCAGATGGAAAGATTTTCACCCGAGTTGGAAAACCTGGGGGGTTAATCTCGAAGTAACTTAAACTATTTTGAAAGGGGGTTTCTTTCGTTTTTGCAAAAGCTGCTTTTAATTCGGCTTTAGGCTTCCCTGGAAGAACTTGTGTTTTGTGGCTAGCCGCGTGTTTTCGGGTCCCGAGAGGGGTTGCCAGATACCACGGTACCTTCTGGAGGTCGGCACTTCCCAGCAGAAGCGGCAGTGAGGAGTGTGCTGTTAGGGAAGGACGCCTGCACATGAGCCTGCTCGCATGGGACGGATACCTAGTTTTTCTTTTTAAAATGTTCCATTAAGATCTAAGATGCTCTTTACAAATAAGGAAACCACTTTTTAGGAGTTTGCCTAGACAAAGAATTTTTAATGCCAAAATTGAAAAGAGTTATCTTTTAGTTCGACAACAGCCAGCGCATTAGATAAGTTGCTTTTCCTTCCAGGCCTTTTTGTCCTGTATTTATCTGGCAGTCGTCACAACATCCTGATCTGGAGAATCCTGAACTTTAATGCCACCCAACTGTGTGTGGTAATTTTTATTTGTTTATTAGGTCATACCAGTCGTGGTAAAAATCAGGGAGGTCTTTTAAGTAATGGAAAAAAAAAATATGGCATTTAAGGAAACGACTTAATTTACTTTGTGTAACTCAGCGTCGTGATGTAACAGCTGCATTTTAAAACTGTCAGTTGGGAAAACAGACTGAAGTTTTAATAAATAGTGTAGTAGTGAGTTTTAGAATGATTAAGGCTTTAAGTTATTAACTATAGACCTTTAAAAACAATGTCAGTCCACTTGCAGTTATGTGGAAGGTTTTTCTACAGGTGTCAAAAGATATATTCAGGAGTGTTTTGCTAGAAATCTGTGTTCATAATGTCAAAATATACGTTTCATGAAATGGAAATTGAAGTGCTGGGTAGGACTCTGTCCCCCTTGGCTGCCTGGATATTGTTTCCCATAGTTGTCATAGGATCCTATGACAGGACTGGAACGTGGTCCTTGAAGATTTCTTTGCTAGCCTATGAAAAGCATAAGAAGTTGATTTAAAGGTTTAGAATATTAAGTTGCCTTAGTTCAAGAATTTGGAATATGAAGCTCCTCTCAGTATCTTAACATGTCCTCACTAAAATCACCATTCGATTGAACCCAAAGTGCTGTGGTGATTTTTGTGGGCAACTTGTTGGAGTAGAGCAATTAATCTGGTTATAGAAAAGAGGGCTCTTTTTGAGGGATCTCTTTGAAGAGTGGTGCTATTGAAGTGCAGGGGTTCTTTCTCAGAGCAGGGAGCCTAGCCAGTGTTCTTTGCAGATGGGCTACCATATGTTTTATGTCTGGATCCATATCATTTGCCTCAGCACCCCATATGGCTCTGCATTTCACTTAATTCAGCTTCAGCATATCTCATTTCTTTTATTGTAAACTGGTGATTGTGCTGCAAATTCACACGTGCAGTCCTGGTATTAAGGAAACTCTTGAATGGTGAGCCCTTTATGTGTGATTCATTAAAAAATGATGAAATGAAAGCTCTAGATCCACAAATCCTATAGCACTTTAAATAACTGATGTGAAAATACTGTCACACCAATCTGACCCCCAAACAGAGAAATCTGTAACTGCAGATGTTGAATTCTGCCCTTGGAAAATGTAGAGTACTATGGTTACTCTTTTTGGTTTTGTTGTTGTTGTTGTTGTTGTTGTTGTTGTTTGGTTTTTTCTTTTTTAAAGCAAAACTCTGCAGTTCCTGAATGGAGATCCAATACAAGAGTTACTTGCTTACACTTCGTGGTCTTTGTGGCTGCATCCTTGAGATTGTTTCTGCTCTTCATTGTCTTGGCATTTTGACAGGAAGCTCACTTTACCGCCTATAACAGGCAAAGTGTGTATTGTTGTTATAAATTCATGAAGCCTGGATATTTCTGGGTGTATGCTACACAGTCATACACAGGAACCTGTGATGGGGCTGAAAATGCAGACCCAATGTACTCTCTCTAGTTAGCCATCTTTCCTGCCATCAGTTCTGTAGCAAAATACTGTTAGAACCCTTATTCAAAGCAAAAGAACCCAAGGAGTTCTGTTTTCTGTGAGGTTTCTCAAAGCAATCAGGAGCTACCTGCTATGAAAAAAGGAAAGATGCGGGTGGGGAAGGAACCAAAAAAGGAGCTGGGGATTGAAATTCTGCTTCTCTTCCCTTCTGAACAGTTGCATCTGCATTTCAGTACTATTTTTACGGGAAAGATGCGGGTGGGGAAGGAACCAAAAAAGGAGCTGGGAATTGAAATTCTGCTTCTCTTCCCTTCTGAACAGTTGCATCTGCATTTCAGTACTATTTTTACTTCTGATATTTTATGACTATTTGAAATAATTATAAGTAAACGTATGCTCGGATAGATTTTATAGACCATAAAAAGAACAAATAGGCACTGCAAGTTTAGCGGAAAGTTCTTGTGCTGTCATTTATTTGTAGTCTAAGTACTGCTCATTACTGAGTGATCTTGGCCCTGTTCTTATTTTCTTGCTTTCTGCTTGCTTTGAATCTGATTTAAAAAGAAAAATAAAGCAGTAGTTACATAAGTCTTTTTTTTCAGCTGTCAAGTACTGTTTTTAGAGTCAGAAATTTAGGAGAGATGTGACCTGTGGTGGAAGGAGGAGATTTGAGGAAAGGCACCATGTCCTGGCTCCATATTAGCTGCATATATGATCTAGCCAGGACAAGACCTTTAATATCCCTTTGCCTTGGTTTTCCCATCTGTAAAATGGTTTTAATGCCTTTTGAGATTTTTGAGTTTGGGTTTGTTTTGGTTTTTTGAGATAAAATAGCTGAAAATAACTTGCTCTGCTTTGCAAAGAGGAATTCTGTAAATATCTGAGCTGCTTTTGTCAGCTTTGGACTGAACAAACAAAATAGGCCAAACACATAAAGATGTTTTTGTGTTTGGGGTTTTTTTCAAGTGTGATTTAGTAATTGCTATAAATCCATAGCTCCAAAATATTGAAATATTTTAATCTTATCTTATTTGAATTAAAGTGAATGGCAAATCTAGGCTATAGTATTTTTCCCTCTTTGGTCTTTGAAATTTTAAAATGGTGACAGAATTGTCTCCAGAGGTTGTCACCCTTTCCTCCCAACTAAAGCTGGAAACAGAGATTACAGGCTATTTAATTCAGATTTAAAAGCAGTTTACTACTGAAAATATTAAAATATCTTTTTAGGTTAATCTTAAGTCTTTTATCAGATGATGTCCTAAATCTTGATGTTATCGTGAAGTTTATTGTGCCAACATCTTGACATAGTTATATATTTAATAATAATTTACTGGCCCTGATTTTTCCCCCATCTAGAATACAATTTATAAGATATTTTATGTCTGGAAAAGGTCACAGAGTTTGTCTTAGAACAATCTCATTTCTCAGATAAGAACCTAAAATTTGAAGAGATTAAGAGACTTTCTCCATAGCTGAGAGACCTAAAAAGAATTTTAGGTAACACAAATATGTGTTACAGTTCATTTCTATAAAATTTGAGGTTGATGATAAAGTATTTCTCTTTTTAGTAAGTCTGTTATTCCTCACTTCATGGATCAGAATACAGTATTAAATTGATTGGAGCATACAACTGACCTAGTATTGGCAGTTCTTGTGTTTTTTGGTGCTTTGAGAGGTGTTATAAATTTTTGTTTGATAAGTTGGTGGCAAAAAACATCATTGAGAATTTTTTTTTTAATATATAGGGCAGTAATACATGAGTTTTCATTACTTCATTTTAGCTTTGTTTAAATCATTAAATTTTATTGTTTGTTTAAGGGGGGAAATAAGGTTTATATATACTCTAAGAATTCTGTGTTTTATAGTTCTCTAGTTCTGTTTCTGGGGGAAAAAAACACGATTGCAATCATCTGTTTTCTGCAGCATAATTTCAACCTGTAATCTGCTTGGGAACTGAGATCCTGGGGTGATGGAAGTGGATGTTAAAGAGAAAAGCAAATACATAGTTTTGTCAAATGAATCACTTTAATGTTTTTTGTTTTTTTTTTTTTCCTTTTTGTCTTTTTTTACTGACCGGTAACGGGATCGCAACCCTCCGTGTCGCGCCCATACCGGGGACCGGCAATGGGATCGCAACCCTCGGTGTTGCACCCGCACCGCGCTCAGCCAGTGAGTGGGAACCAGTCTCCACATGGGATCCGAACCCTCGGCGGGAGCGCCATCCCAAGCAGCGCACTCTCCAGTGTGCCACCAGGCCAGCCCCACTTTAATGTTTTTTGACAGAGCATTTATATTTTGTAGAAGCTAGAAAATTGTGTCAGTTGTACAGTTTATTGATAAACATGCCTCAGGAATGATAGGATATCTTAGTACCTGGATTTTTTTTCTTGATATTCTTACCCTGTAGCCAGAAAGGTAAATCAGGTAAAGAAAGGTGTTTTAACTAATCATACTATAATTTAGGATTTCCCCCTTCCTGAGGTGTAGAAGCTTTAATCATGGTTTTGTGCATAGTGCTGCTTTTACAGTACTTTCCGAAGCAAATTATGCAGTTTTCAAAATCAAAACAAAGTTTATGTCTTTGGCTTGGCCTTAGAGCAGAGGAATTTTTCTCAAAATCTATAAACAAATAGCAGAGTTGATAAAGTATTTTATTTACTATTACCTTGTAATTTTAACCTAAGAACACTATACTCACTGTACTTCACTCACAATGGCCCATGCTTTAAAGTGTTAAGTTAACTAACTGCATGCAGTTTTTCTCCCAGTGGCTTAATTTGAGACACAGGAGCACAATGCAACCCTATTTCTAAGGGCTTCTTAAAATAGGATTATATGAAATAGAACAAACAGTTCCCAGAGGAGAATGTCATTTTCTCATGTAGCTGAGGAAGTTAACAAGCATTGGCAAATGGTTGGTCTTATCTTCTTTCCCATAGGTGACTGCCAACAACCAGCCCAATGTCGAATCCAGAAATGTACTACAGACTTTGTGTCCCTGACTTCGCACCTGAACTCTGCCATTGACGGCTTTGACTCTGAGTTTTGCAAGGCCCTGCGTGCTTATGCTGGCTGCACCCAGCGAACTTCAAAAGCCTGCCGTGGCAACCTGGTCTACCATTCCGCTGTGTTGGGTATCAGTGACCTCATGAGCCAGAGGAACTGTTCCAAGGATGGACCCACATCCTCTACCAACCCTGAAGTGACCCATGACCCTTGTAACTATCACAGCCATGCAGGAGCCAGAGAACACAGGGAAAGGGACCAGAACCCTCCTAATTATCTTTTTTGTGGCTTATTCGGAGATCCTCACCTTAGAACTTTCAAGGATCACTTCCAAACGTGCAAAGTGGAAGGGGCCTGGCCACTCATAGATAATAATTATCTTTCGGTTCAAGTGACAAATGTGCCCGTGGTCCCTGGATCCAGTGCTACTGCTACAAATAAGGCAAGTATGCTTTCTTTTTTCTCTTCTTTCTACTCATAACTTTCAGATGTTTGATTCTTTGGGCAACTTTTGAAATGTGGTATAAAAGGCCAAGTTAAAAAGGAACCTTTCTGGGCCGGCCCGTGGCTCACTCGGGAGAGTGCGGTGCTGATAACACCAAGGCCCCGGGTTCGGATCCCATAAAGGGATGGCCGGTTCGCTCACTGGCTGAGCGTGGTGCTGACAACACCAAGTCAAGGGTTAAGATCCCCTTACCGGTCATCTTTTTAAAAAAAAAAAAAAAAGGAACCTTTCTTTGCTTCTTGGAAAGCAAGTAACAGAGTTGATAAAGGATTAAATAAGAATTATTTAGTAAGGAGTTTCTCACTGGAATGTAAAATGCAGGTCTAAATTTAAATAGGCAATGATATGAAGAATAAAAAGTAAACAGTGAAATTGAGTTCTCAGGGAAAGGCAGGCCTGTTCAATGAAAAAATGTGTCCTTTTTTTTGGTGATGTCTTTGAGTGCCTATGTGTGTGACTCTTCTTGAAGAAATCCATGTTCACATTTATCAGATGACTGAAGTGGGTGTTCTGAATAAAGAAAGCTGTGAGGCTTGAGGCAGTGACCCATCAGGAAACATATTTTATTGGAGATTTAGAAGCTATAGTAAAATGTGATGGCTCTAAGCCAGCTTCCCAATGGCAAACCCACAATGATACTTTAGTTACTAACCTCTTGGTGACCAAGGAAGTTAAGAATTAGATATTGCAGTGGTATAACCCCCATGTAATCTCAGGGCCTTAGGTTAACAGTTTATGTCAGAAGCTAGGGGAAAAGCTGACAAAATTAAGCTTACGCTACCTAGCCACCAGTGTCTGGTCCATGTTCATTTGTTTGTTTTGAAGAAACTAATACTGTACAGAGATCCTTGAAGCCAACTTCAAGGCACCAGTCAGTGTCTTAGTGCAAGTACATAGAAGGGAGCTATGAACTGGGTTTCTCTTTGCCAGTCAGTGCTCATTTAGTCATTAATAAAGTTAGAAAGGATTTTCCACTAATATAGTGTCCCAAGTTACCACCTTCTTCCCTGTTTTCCCCAACCACAAAGCCATACACACAGACCATCTCATCTTGCCTAATTTCCCGTATTTATTATCTCTGTTCATATGTTGGTTTAGACTAAAATATAATTGACAAGGATCAAGCTTTTGAAATACTTATGACTGGTCTTTTGGTTCCAGGACACCCTCCCTTCCCTCCAAACATGTGTGGCATATTTTTTTAAATGAATTTAAATTGTTTTACTTGGCATTTTTGGAGGGAATTTTACAGCACCTCAGGAGATATCTGGAGACACCCAGGGGTGTCACAAATCTAAGATTAGAAGTCATTGCTCTGAACAAAGAAGACTGTTAACACTGGTCCAGACATCTTAGGGCCACTCGAAAATGTATATACTTCAACTCCCAGAAAAAGCTGGAGCTTGCCTTTTGCCTTACCAAATTCTACATCTGAAAATAAACTTTTCTCTGGTTTTTATATGTATGCAAATAATTTTTCCTGTATATATCTCAGAATATGTATTTTCTATAAGTTATCTTATAAAATTATACAATTATGAAGTTATAAGGCAAACTGTGACCAAAAATCCATCATTGCTGAAGAGTCATAGGGCACATAAAACCTAGGAATAGTCTTTGGGTAACAGAGAATTCAGGAAGGCAATACATTGGGAATGAAAAAAATCATCTTGAATTGTACAAATAATTGAGGACTTGGAGGAGTAGCCTCAAACAAGACTTAAGAGATTAGTAAGTGCTAGGTACATGGGGATATATTGGTTCTTTTCACAGCCAAAGTTTTATTTTCCATGCCTTTTATCTAATCACATCACTTCTGTTTGTTATTCTGCCTTTCAAAATTCTATACATTTTACTGATTATAGTGAAAATATTTGGGGGACAACCAATAACCTTATGAGTACTAATACTGTATAAATTGATCCATTTACCCTGAAGTACATAAGATCATTCCATTTTAGTTGTTGAATCTATTATAATTTTTAGCAAATAAATAAATAAAAAGTACAACTTCGTTTTCTTCCTGAGTTTGGTAAGGATCAAAGGTTTTACCTGTTCCAAAGAAGAGCGGGGAAAAGTGGTCCTCTGATATAACTTCAGGTGGACAGTGAGAATGCGTGGTCTTTAATTGCACTATTGGAAGATATTTCCTCACATCTAGTGACCATGTTGTTCAGCAACAAATTACTGTGTTGCTTCATGACCTGGTGGACAGTGAGAATGCGTGGTCTTTAATTGCACTATTGGAAGGTATTTCCTCACATCTAGTGACCATGTTGTTCAGCAACAAATTACTGTGTTGCTTCATGACCTTTAATAGTTGGGTTCCCTGCCCCCTTCTTTTTGTAACTCTTTCCAAAGGCCCAGTAAGCATCTGGAAGATTATTCTTGAAGGTGTGTATCAATGCTGGTATGACCTGTGCTGCTGAAACAAGCAAAGGCCTAAAATCTTGCAGTACAATTTTCTTTACCCACCCAGGGCCAAAATAAAATCTAAATAAGATCTTAAGCATAAAAAAAAAATGGTGGTAATATAAGTACATTTTGCCTCATATTGTTTTTATTTTTAAGTTCCAAACAAGATCTGACTTTATTTACCTTGGGGTGTACCACAAGGCTTTCTAAAAAAGTCTTTTGAAAGGTTTTTTGTGGGTCAGTCCCAGCGCTGAGAACTTAAGCACATACATACAGTTAGTTATCAGGTAACCCTGCACTGTACATTGCAAATACTGAACCCTCCTTGTGTGGTCAAGCATTTTTAATGACCCACATGCTTAGTGTCACTAGATGTAAAGACTGATCACTGGTGGTGTAGAGGCTGGCTAGGTAGCTTTGATACTGAAATTTTTGTATTTAGAAACCCGTGGATTTCACTGCCATCGACACTGCGCTGAAGCACTAGACCCAGGGTATTTTGTTCAGGGAGGTCATTAAGACAGCTCAGCTCGTCCATCCTGGGCACCTGACTTCTTGAGCCAGCCATCTTCAAGCCTAAATTTGTGAGTGCTGTTTGCCCCTAAGTAACCACCTTTCCCTCATCACAAAAAGACAAAACAGGAAAAAGTCTAAACAACAGAATGGAAGAAAATGATGTCATCTGTACTCACAGAGCCATTTATTAGCTAAGCCTTTTCTATTTTCCACATGGCAGGTAGCAGGTTAAAGGCAGATAGGCCTGCAATGCTCAATGACGTTGCTCCATCTCCTCTCGTCTGCTGTTCTCTCCCCACCCCAGCCCTCTCCTCCCCTTCCCTGGGTAAAGTAGGGCTTGTTTTCCAGTTGGTCATGGTGTGCACAGGTATGCTTTCTCAGGCCTCTGTGATTTTGTTTATGCCCTCTGCCAGCCTTGTAGGCTCCCTCTCTTTGGAGCCGCAGCAGTTGGCCACCTTGCCAGGTAGGTGTGTTCCTGAAAGGGAAGCCAGGGCTGGTTTTTCATCTCTCCACCCGGGACTGCAGGGGTTTCTGGCACACCTGCATGCCTCGGCTGAGATCCACATCAGCTCTAGGCCATCTTCCCCACCTTTGGCTGTTAGAGGCAGCTGCAGGCATGCAAGCACTGGGGGACGGGGGAGGGACAGGCTTGGAACTTGCAGAGTTAGCCACACTGGAAAGAGAAGCAGTTTTTGTTTTCAGGATAGGCAGTAGCTCACACTCTGTAGGCTCCAGAGAGTACACATGTCAGTAGCTCTCCTGGGCCTCACACACTCAGGAGAAACCCCATCATGTGTTTGTGAGGATGCTGAACTTCTGTACTTTCTCTTCCACGTCCTCTTTGCCAACCTCTCAATCGCAACTCCTGTTAGTTCATTCTGTGTGTCTATGTATCTCTGCTTAAGTGGGCTCAATAAGGATGTGCCCTGATCACAGAAGGTGATTGGGGAGTAAATTATTTTATGAAAGGATTCTGCACTCTACAAGTATATTCCTAATAGCATATATTAAAATTGCCAATCTCAAGTGCATTTAAAATGATTCTTTCCCAAAATAAAAAGTAGGAGGGGAGCTTGAGGGGAACAAGTCCTGTTACAGATCTCATGCTACACATTTTTCTGTGCTTCATCCTTGAGTGAGTGAAGGAGGTTTATGTTATAGCAGTTTGCATTTGGGAAAGGAGTGTGGTCTTTGTGCTTGACCAAACCAGATGGCTGTTGGCCGGGTGAGTGGATACTGAGGCGCCTTGTATGTTTTCCCTGCTGCCATGGGCCACCAGCTCCCAGTAGTCCATGGGCAGCACTCAGTGCCTGTCCAAAGCATAGTAGAAGGCCCTGCCCATCGTATATATAGTGTATATATGTATCTTTTAAATTCCATAATTATCCCTAAATCTCAAATTCTGTAGCTACTTTCTTAGAAGTTCCTGAAAAACTTACACTGGTAGATGATTGGAGAGATGTAGACAGACTTAGTTTGGTTCATTCCTAGTTAGCATCTTCCTTAAACTGTATAACCCAAGATTTTCTGTTGTGATGAAACATTCCCTTGTAGGCTCTCCGAGAGCGTGAAGTGGGTCCACTCCTGCTTTCTGATACCCCTTAGCATGTGGTTGTTGATCCACAGCAGCAAGTGGGCGTGCAAACTAGTGTTCTGGGTCATTCTCTGTTGGTTATAAAATCAGAGCCAGACATGCCTGCACTGCAAAGGCTTTCAGCTATCATTTTAAGTATATCTCTGGATCAAGGTTTGGAAATCTGTCCTCTCTTCACTCCAGGCCTAGTACATTTTTTTTGTAGCCAAGTTTTTGCAGCCAATTAGTTTTTAGTATCTTTCTGGAGGCCACGTGAGTTACACAGTGATAGTCATTCCTATTTTTATGGACTAAGTAACATGCTCCTCCCTTCAGCAGGTTTATATTTTGGATATATGCACACTTTTCTTGCATGCAGTGTTGTTATAGAGGGACTCGCATTTTCTTTGGGAACATAGAGCATAAACTGTTT